GCTGCTGTTTTATTTTTATTTTTATTTATGGGCACAGTATAGGTTGTGAACAGGCAGGAGAATGTGGCCGGCTGTAAGATTCAATAAAATATGTGGAAACCACACCTGCATGCATCTCTATACAAATAAGGAAAGGAAAGAGGTCAGATGAGTCATCATGAGGAATTTTGTACAGCTCATTGGTGTCAAGTTACATATATTTGTCACTTAATGACTTAGCTATGGAACAGCTTTTTCAACTTATGACCAAGGCACACCTTTGGGCCTGTGAGCTGCCTTTTTCTCTTGTATGGTTCTGTACATCTTGGAGAAGGAGCCTCCAGCTCCCTCCTTACAGTACGCCCTGTTTACACGGTCCTGTAGCACTGCTGGTTGTAGTGCTCGGCATCCCACTGTAGGACACACGCAGTGCTGCGCTGGGTCCTGCAAATGAAACGGAAGGCTCCAAGTTGGAGCCCCTTGGCCCACGTCTCTGTTCCAAGTGCTGTGATGTGCACACTGTACTCAGTTCCTCATCAGTGACGAACTCTGGGAGAGACCTCCATGCAGTAATGGAACGAGGCTGTTCAAGGTGGAAGGCCTGCGGTATCCTCACCACGTGGAAACTAGGGAACGTGAGCCATGATTCGCGAGATTAGGCTCTTCGATTTTCTGCTCAGGGATTGAACTCTAGGTCACGTGCAGGCCTGGATAGTGCTCTACTGCTGCGTTTGCTCCCAGCTGTGTGTTTGACATTGGGAATTTTACTCCAGTTGTCCCCCATTCCTTGTGTGTACTGTTCTCTTCATGGGCCTTAGTGGAAGCAGCCCCATCTCCAGGGTCCCAGGACACCATGGGATCTGTTCTGCTCTATTGCCTCATGCAGATCTGAGGCACCTTGCCTCCCGCACTGTGTCCTAGGTAAGGAAACACAGGTACACGTGAGTCCTTCAAGCATAACTGATGTGCCCTTTGTCCCTGTGCTTAGCGCCCAACCCAGTGAGGAGCCTGCGGGTGGAAGCTCAGACCAACAGCTCCATCAGCCTGCGCTGGGAGGAGCCCCAGGACTCGGCCTCCCAGAACCTCACCTACTGGGTCCAGTGGACTGGAGACGGAGATGATGGAGACACCCAAAAGACCACAGACACCAGTGTCACCGTGGAGGGACTGCGTCCTGGGTCTTCATA